TAGCGAAGTGGAGGGGTCGATGCTGCTCAAAAAAAGGATCTTTGCCTTGTGTATTAGAGTCCCTACAAAGTCCCACTTTTCGTCTAGTCCAATTTTGAAATCCTTCACTTTTAATCAAATTGGTTATTTTCTCTCTAGAATATTTGTCACTCTTACTAGATATTCAAAATATCTCATCTTTGTTTTAAAATTTCTCTAAAGAATCCACAACCTGTGTGGTTTTTTTATACCTTCCCCGTTTTCCACTAAAAGAAAAGTGATGTTTTTGGGATCGTTGGTGTTTTAAAATAAAAATTAAAAGAAAATCGTTGACAGGACCAGCAACAAATGCAGAATCATAAGGAAAACTTCTTCTTTGCAACTAAAACAAATTTGATTAAGCCAAGAAGCGTTTACGAAGCTTGTAAAACAAGAGAAATCCGGTGATTATCTTGGTACTGGATGGTATTTAAAAATCGACGTACATGTAGGTATATTAGAAGTTTTACGACAACTTTATTGCTCGACTATTTTGCTACAAAAATAGTCAAACAAATTAAAAACATTATCATTTACTCAAAGAATGCTTTCATTGGTATCCAGATCATTGAATTCTATTTCCTGGAGAAGTTCGACTCCATCCAATCTTTGTCAACCTCTGCATAAACTTACTTTTATCCATTCTTCAGCTGCGTAGCTTGTACTTGTACTTCTTCTTGTACTAGAGTCTTCTCTCACTAATTTCTTTTCTAGAGGTCCTCTTTTTTTTGAAAATTAATGTCCAGCTTTAATAGCTCATTCCTTTTAAAAAGCTCTAAAAGCTAATATTAACCAATCTTTATTCCCAAAAGTTGTTTTTCTAGGTAATTTGAGGGTTTGACTTCAAATTTTGACGATAACTAGCGTGTGAAACCAATTTGAAAGACAAAACCAATAGGTCAAATTACAGAAAAATCGTTGATTTTTTCTCTTGTATATAACTCATCCCGTTCGCTTCCCACAAGCTCTTGATATGCCAAAATTTCCTGATCCGACGCCTGTACACCAATGAAATACAGACACCTTCGCAGCTTTTGAGCTTTTTGCAGCTTAGGCTTAGGCTTAGAGTGATTAGATTTGGATCCGACGGGGCCTACGATAGATAAAAATCGCTCTGAAAAGTACACAAATTTTCACTTTTGATTAAGGCCAGTAATTGGCAAATAATTAACATAAATTGCTTGTAATTTCAGCACACTTTACTATTCAAAATTTGATTCGATATTAAGCTATCGTATTGGCCAATTGATCGGTCACTTGATTGGTCACTTGATTGGTCACTTGATTGATCGTATTGATCAAATGCTGTACTTGAACGCCTGAAGTTTTTGCCTGTTTTTGAATGCTCAACAAAAAAAAATAAAAGCTCTGATCTGAGGCCAAATATGGTGTTAAAGCTGCTCAAGAACTCTTTTTAGTCTTTTAGAAGTCCTAGAGCAAAAGTAAAGCAAAAGCAAAAGTTAAAGTTAAAGCCAAAGTAGTTCAATTTTGCTGAAAGCTTTCAAATACCGAGTTGAGGCGCTGTTTGAGTTCTCTTTTAAACATTATTTTGTAGAGAATTAGTTACCCTTCTACGGATATCATATCATTTGACAAAGTCTGCTATAAGTTTTAGAAATTTCTTTGATTTTCGGCGCCGACCCCAACCCAATATTTCAACATATCTCCGTTTTTTGAAAACTTGGTAAACTTTTGGACTTTGTAAACTAGATGGAAAAGGGTATCCAAAAGGTCAGTTTGTTTTTTAGCTTATCCTATAGAGCAATGATATTGTTTGAATAATTTAAAATCAATATTCTGACGTTAAAGTAAGCTATGAAAAAGCTGTTAAGTTTTTTGGAATATTAATCTCTAAAGTTTGCACCTGTGCATGGCGGCAGCGGCTTGTTGAGCGGCCACGGCTTGAGCTTGAGCCTGAAAAAGGAGAGGATTGGAAAAAATTATTACCTTTCTTTTATTTCATTTTTTGATTCTTTAATCAATAACCCTGATTTAGAGAAAGGAATCTCTAAAAAATGAATTTTTCAAACGAACAGTAAGCTTAGAAATTACAGTAAGCTTAATAAAAAAGAAAAGACTAGATTCTACAGTACCGTAGAATCAAAATATAATCCCTAGATGACTAGAAATATTAAAAAACCAATAATCTAATAATTTTAAGGGTTTGAGAGGGGATAAGAGACGCTAAAGGGAGGGACAAACTAAGGGGACAAGCTAACAAAAAAACGGAACGTTTTCCATTGTTCCTCGAAAAAATCATCGACTTTTTTCTTTCCCTTCAGTTTTCGTGCCTTTTCTTTCAGAGCATCTAAAAACCAGGTTTTTTTATTTTTTAACAGCTAAACCTCGAGTTGCTTTTCCCAATTGTTCCACTTCAGCGTCATCATTTTCAGGCTTTGCTTCCAACTAAAATAGAGAATAAAAATCTCGCAGAAAATTTTACATCAATCTCTTTCGATGTGTTCTCGGTCGCGCTCGGCGCAATCTTCTCTTCCAGACTTAAAACTGTGGTCTTCTTCAGGTACCTAAAAATGTATGGTTTGACAAGAGCTGATAATATCGTTATCACTCACTTCTTCAAATCATGAGTCTCGCGATCTACGTCCATCGCATCTTCGAATGGATCAAAATGAAAAGGCTGTCTGAATTCTGGAGCTGCTTCGCTATTTTTTCTTTTGTCGTACCGACAATGCCTGGAAAGTATTTACAAAGTGTCATTCTTGCAAACTTGTAGGTACTATGGGCTTTGGGGAGGGGATACTTTTTCAACGAAACCATTTTTCCTTTGGTATTAGAGGACGCTGATCATGAAACAAGCTAACAAGGCAACTTAGTAATAAAAAATGTTTAAAAAACTACTATAGCACCTTGAGTTTTAAAACTCAAGGTGCTATAGTAGCT